CAGGCTCACAAGATATTGCCTGACAAAACCGGTGCGTTCAACAAACAAGTTCATGCTGAAGGTGGGGTTCCCACATGCTCAGGTTGCAAGAAAAAGTTCACAAGATGGTCGGGCCTTGAAAGACACATCAGACAGCGAAGATGCTTAACTCCGGTAAATCCCATGGGTGATGATCTTCATGATGCAGTTGTGTGTCCTCCACAGGCTGTTTTTCAGTTACATGAAGTGCGACAGAGGCTACTGGACAATGGTGTGCAGGCTTTAGCAGCTGATGCTACATATGGCCAGTCCTTGGCGCAGACTTGTGCACTGTGTGGTCAATGGATTGCTTCCGGATACATGATCAAGAACCACTACAGAAACAGTCACCATGCGGATCATGAGAAGTATTCTACTGCTGCTATTAAGCTTCAGACGGGCATTGCTGTCGGCTCCCCTTGCTGCTACTGTGCCTCAACCTGCAGGACACCGAGCGTTCATGCGAAAAGATGTCCAGTACTGTTCCAAGCCTCAATGATGCTCGCAATGCTCCAGGATGACAACCGTACGGCAGGATCAGCTGAACGAGATGTTCGGACTCCTCAACTCAGCGGGGATGCAACTGGACAGTCTAGGACAAGGAAGCTGGCAGGATCAAAACCACAGGCCGACGAAGCAAGCAAGACTGCCCAACGGAGCGGGATGGGGAGGCAAGGGAGGTCACAAAGGGGGAAAAGGTGGACACAAAAGGGCTCGACAGCTTCAGATGCAACCAGCGCTGGGGATGCAGACAGTTCCAGACATGCATTGCGAGTTGGAGGAGCTAGTAGCCATGCTGGCCAAACTAGTGCTCAGACAGGAGGACTCGATCTCAGTGCTCAGGCAAAACTCAGCATTCATACTTTGGCTGCAGACGCCAAAACATCCCTGCAGCATGGTAAAGCAATTGGTGGCGGCTGCAAGCAAGTGGAAGCAGGAAGCAGACAAGGCAACAGCAGTAGGAAGAGTTCCACTTCGATGCGTGCTCCTGCAGGGAATGGTAGCCACACTGATAGACAGGATTGCACTCCCAGAGCAACAGACCGCAGCGCAGCAGGCGGGATGGTTCACGGGGCAGGCATGGGTGTTTCAGGAGTGGAATGCCGAGGAGCGAAAGCTGCGCGTGTGCGAAAGCAAGCCGCACATCCCCCATGCAGAGATGCTGACGAAGCTCGCAAGCCTTCAGAAATCGCTGGCCGAGGATCGCATCATTCACCGCTTCAAGTCACTCAGACCGCTCCAAGAGCAAATGCAGGGAGAGACAGTAGCCATGATATTAGATCTCGCGATTGCGGACAAGGGCGCGATGGAAGCTCAGCAGTTGCTCGAGGAACTCATGGGAAATGCAGTCTTTCAAATAATCGGCATGCACTACCGCAGAGAAGGTCTCGGGAGGTCACAACTGGCCAAATCGATCCAGAAGATCTTGAACAACTTCGAGCTATGACGCTTCGGAACAATACTCAGATCTGCTATGCAAATTCCACTCTGCTGTGCTTTTATTGGGCCATTTGTGCCACAACATGTACATGGCAGCATGGCTTTGGGCGTTTACACAATGCTTTCAAGGATCTGCTGAGTGCACATAGGCCCACGATCACATCTTTTGCTCCTTTGAAGTCGCTGTGGCAGGGATGGCCTGATGCTCACATCCAACATGATGCTGCAGAATTTTGGGCCCATCTCCTTCAGGTCTCAGCGCCAGGATCATGTCGTGGATCATGGCAGGCTCGTGCAGTGACTGAGGCTGGTATGCAGATTATAGACAGGGGTACGATGGAACAGGCGTTGATGACTCCATTGGAGGCTCAGTCGAAAACTCAGTCAATCAGTGCATGTATTGACCGATGGCGCAATCAACATCGACTCCAGATTCATGCTCTTGTTGATGCGCCGACTGTGCTATGCCTGCAGCTCAACCGCTTCAGTGTGCGAGGCCGAAGAGTTACAAAGACGAAAACAGCAGTACATATTCCTCAGGTGATTGTGATTCCTCGTTTCGTTGATGATTCGGTGGATGTCCACTTGAAGCGATATAGGCCCGTTGCAGCTGTCGCTCATCACGGGGCCACTCCACTGAGAGGTCATTACACCTCAATCGCATGGCTACAGGATGGTTTTCGCCTGATGGATGATAACAGATTGGGTCAGACAGTCGGCGTGCTTCCCAAAGCGCTGTTATGCGACATTTACTTGATCTGGCTTGTTCAGATTCCAGATGAGTGAGTCTTGATGCCCATAAGGTCGGTTCAACAAGTGATCACGCCAGGAGTGTACATACGTATGCTTACATATGACAGTACATCCCGAATTGGGCCATTTTGGTCTGTGCTTTTCGGTGTCGTGACGCTGCTTGCGTCCTTACACTGTGCACTGCATGCAAAGTTACCGTTGTTAGTGTGCTGTGCCAGCGAGCTTTCAAAAGCATGCTTGGCCTTTCGGGGCGGTGCTTTTGTTTGTACAGCTGCAGCTTGCTTGGCCTTTTCGGGGCGGAGTTGCATAGTCGAATGCTTCATGCATTTCATGCTCGAGGATGCTTTAAAGCATTGTGTTTACCAAAACACCGGCCATGATGGCTGCTCTTAGTTAGTCTTACCTGCCACAAGGCAGCGCGCAGCTGCTGTGTCCAAAGTGTGCAAAAAAGTAGCCGAGGACCTGGCCGAAGCTGGGCTTGACGCGGAAGCCGTTGCTTCTACGCTCCTCCATTTACATGGATCTTGAGTCCTCGCTTGCCCAAGTATGATCGGTCGCTGGCCCGCTGGACGATCTCGCACAGGTAGCTCAGGACCGTCTTGGTCTCGGGGTCGAAGCGCACAAGCACCCTTTGGGGGCGGGTCCACCGCCGGCCCAGGAGCCGCAGGATCTCCTGGCCGTCGTCGTCGGCCAGGTCCTCTTCGTAGGCCAGGGGAATCTCGGCATCCGGACTGGAGAGCAGCCACATGCCCTCGCGCTTCGCGAGCTGCAGATCCAGCTTCATCTCACATAAGACCGCCATACACTCCCGACTCGCTGGTATTTCTACCTGCGGCCACGTCCCGCGCCATCCTGTGAACGCCCTGGCGCTCTGCCGGGGCATAGCGCAGTTGCGGGATGCGGCGGTTCACGGCTTCTGTCATGCGGCCCAGCTCGTCGGCATAGGTCCCGGCCTCCTGCCGCAACCGGCGGTTGGAGAGCCACTCGTTGAAGGCCTGCGCCTAAGCACCTCGGCTCAAGTTTTGTTTGTAGTGTTTGGGCGGGGTAGTCTTTGCAGTTCCCTGGTCCAGCGCTGGGCGCACCCGGCTGGTTCAGGAGGCGCAGTGGGCTGACCTACTGTGACGTAGTGGAGGGAAGCCATTGGTAGCTCCAGCTCTTGCGGTGCCTCTGGAGTGCCATACAGATCGTGCAGTGAGTGCATCCGTGTTCCAGGAACACCCAACAATTTCCGGCTCTGCATTCATCCACGCATGGTTTTTACATTGCTGCTGATTTTCTGTTACATTGGAGAACTTTTCTGGACAGAACAGACGGCACTGAAGCCTCACCTGGCCACTACGCTACAGGAGAGATGGAAGAAGCATTCGAATGCCTACTGGCATCAGAACCTGGAAGTGGTAGCAGAGCGCATGCGAGCGCTGACAGTGTTGCAGAGGCCACGAGAAGGGCCACTCCAATATTGGAGAGATCCATATCTGAAGCTCTGGACACTGGGCAGCTGGCATTTTACCTCTGTTTCAGAAGCGTACCCCAACGGGCTATCACAGACATCGGGATCCATGTATATTTTCAACAGTACGCAAACCCAGATGCTGCAGCGCGACGTGAGATCACTGGGCAACTGGAACGTGAGATTAGCGGGAAAGACATGGCAGGAACCCTGGAACTGTTTCGCCAACTTTTGGAGGGAGACCATCGTGAGCAGTTTTATGAAGACATCTACGAGCTGCTGGAGCGACATGTGCGTAGCATGCAGAGACCGACTTCGCTTGCAGACTTGTTGCTTCCTCTGCCCGAAGCAAGTAACACACCCGAACCTTGCTCCCCTTCAACAGTTCTGGACTCTGACTCTTCGGAGTCGAACGCCACGCTTCCCTACTGCTGACCCTAAGCCCCAGCACTATCTACCTTCCCGTCACGTAGCTCTGTTGGTACCGATGATGTTCAAATGCAGAGGCGCGAAGCTCAGACTTTACACGTGCTGTGGGGCTATCACATGGTTCTGGTTTGCCTGTTACGGGTTCTCCAGGTTATCGAGATTCTTCGGCAAACGCGGCCATGCATCACTGCACAGATGCACTGTACAGAGGCCCCAAAATGCACATCCATCTACGCCCCAGTATCCTGCAAACGCCCCACCCCTCTCTCCAGGAAGAATGAGCCGCCTCGGTCCCAAGTCCGAGGCTAGCAGGCCGGTGAAGACATTAAACTTCAGTGGAATTGTGCGTGTCATGCTGCTCTGGATAATCGCTGCACAATTTCTGTCTAAGCCTGCTAGTGGTGCGAGGGTTGCTGCTGCTTCCACAACAGCAGCTGGAGTCGAAGCACATCAGGCTCCATCGAGCTCGCTGCCCCAGGCGGCGAAGCCTTGTGGGACCCGTGAAATCAGAGCGCAACCGGCATATAGCAACGTCAGGAAACGTGCCTTTCGGCGCGCGCTTGTGCGCGCGCAGGCGCAAGGCTCCACCATGTATCGAGGACGTAGACTTACTTGGCAACAGCTTGCGGGTGCCAGAGGTCCTGCCGAACCAGCCGCACAGCCTGGCAGACACAGGCGGGAAGTAAGGCAAGAGTGCAGTGAGAGTCCGCATTCTCCTTGCATGATCAGTTGGAATGTGGGAGGGCTCTCGAACTCCATTCTTGATGAACTTATCATCTGGCTTGAAACTCGTAAACACATCAAGATTGTTCTGCTACAAGAAACACGGTGGCAGTTTAGCTCGGAATGGTCCAGTGAGCACTGGAACATCATACATGCCGGAAACACCAAACAAAAAGGCTCGGGAGTCATGACCATGATTTCGAAGTCGCTGTGCAGTGCTGAAGACATCAGAGTTCAGGAGATTGTCTCGGGTAGGGTGCTGCATACGCGCATCCCGGGATATGGAGGACACAATCACATTGACTTGCTTAATGTCTATCAGCATGCGTGGGACCAGCGCGCAGAGGCGGGCGAACTGAAGCGCAAACGCGCGTGGATCCTTGCGAAGATCGATGCGTGCATTCAGCAGATTCCTTGGCGCAACTTGTGCATATGTGCAGGGGACTGGAACGTCCAGTTGGAGCCGATGTCTGACCTGATTGGTAATAGCACTAACATCCGTGTGGGACAAGCGCAATCAGCCCCGGATATGGCGTCCCTTACAGATGTCATGATTGCACGCCAATTGGTGGGTTTGAACACTTGGACGGGGCCCAAACGCAAGGCTTACACCTTTACACACAATGGGGGACGCACCCAGATTGACTTTGTTTTTGCTCGCAAGCACCAGGTTACACGCCAGATGCGCAGTTGTCATGCTCTTGAGGGCTTCCCGGTTACTGCCTGGCGTCAATCAGGACTGCATCGCCCCCTCCAGGTCAGCTTGGATTACCGCTGGATACCGAGCAGCACGCCTCAGCAGTCCCGCCGCATTGACCATGATGCCATCGCCACGGCGGTCAGGCAGTGCACACCCCAACTTCACGACTACCAACTTGATGTACAGACTGTCATGGCCCGGAACCCCCCTAGGGATACGAGTGCATTGCATCAGGTGCTGTATGACTGCTGCCTTCGCCACTTCCCAGCCTCGACACAGAGGCGAGAATATGCCCACAACCACGCTGAAGTCCGTGATGTGGTGCACAGCCGCTGGTTGCACCTGCAGAGAGGCAAGTACCACAGGAGGTTTGCAGCTGCTTGCATGTCCAGCGCCTGGCACTGCTGGCATCATTTTGCGAGATTTAGAGCCCTCCGCAGAGAGGCCAACAAAGCATCCAGAACTGCTCGCAGACAACGGTACGAGAACCTGTTGCAAGAGGCGGAGAAATTTGCCAGACAGCAAAACACACATAAGATGTTTTCCATCATTAGGCAATTGGCGCCGAAACAGCCGCATCGCAAAGTCAAGATTTACGGCAAAGAAGGCGAGATTCTCAGCCGTCAAGAGGAGGTTGCATGTCTCAAAAAGCACTTCTGTGATATCTTTCAGGGTGCAAGTTGCGATTGGACTCACCCCATGGAGTCCCCTGCTTCTCCGCCAGCTCCTGAGACTATTTGCGCGGCGCTGGAGCGCATCCCGTTACGCAAAGCGGTCCCTGCACATATGGCTCCGGGCGCAGCTTGGAGAGCAGCTGCACGTCAGGTCACGGACTTGGTTCATCAGGAAGCCTGCAAAGTCTGGGCGGCTGCCTCAATACCGCAAAACTGGCGTGACGGGTGGCTGGCCCTAGCTGCCAAACCTCAGAAATCAGGTCGTGGCCCGGCCGATTACCGGCCATTATGCCTACAGGACCCGAGTGGCAAAGCAGTGATAGGTATATTAGCGGACCAGATCCGACCCACAGTTCGCTTGTATGCCAACAGGTACCCACAGCATGCATACTTAGCGGGCAGATCTGTTCCACAAGTGCAGGGAAATCCGTGGCCTCACGCAAGCAGCAGGGAACAGCGTCTTTGCCAGGCGCAGTGGCCATACTGCGGAGCCGTACACAGGTGGGCTGATTTTGTCATTGGACATGACGACTGCATTTGACACAGTTCCGAGAGCGCATGTTCGCGATTCCCTGATTGAAGCTGGCGTTGCACAAAGTGACGTGTCCATCATCATGTCATGGCTCACAGGTGCGACGTACCATCTCAAACATGCTCACATTAACCTGCGTATCATCACGGAAAGAGGCGTGCGCCAGGGCTGCCCACTTTCGCCACTGGTTTGGGCCTGCTTTACATGCTACATTGCTAAACGGCTGACTGATGTGATCTGTCTTGATGACTTGCAGATTTACGCCGACGACTTCATTTGGAGCTGCATTTTCCACACTAAACAGCAATTTCTGCACACACTCAGGACGGTGCCACTCTTCATACAGAAGCTTCGGCAGTATGGACTCAGGGTAAATCTCAACAAAACGGCTGTTTTAATTCGCATGGCCAGGCAAGAGGGCAAAGCTTTACTTAAGCTACACCTGTGCAAGACCACCCAAGGCACTTTCCTGAACATCTTGAGTGATAAGCCCCTCCGTATCCCGGTGAAGAAATCGCATGTTTACCTTGGATGTGTCATTTCGCTGTTTGATTTTGAAAGCTTGACGGTTCGTCACCGAATCGAGGCCGCTCGGAATCAGTACTCTAGGCTACGTAGTGTTTTGACCTCCACAAGATGCATGAGCATGAAACGCAGGGCAAGGATTTGGCTTGCGTGCATATGGTCAACCTTGACCTACGGCTGGACCTGTTGCGGTTGTTCGGGCTTTCTCTTCACTCAGGTCTGCGGTCTTGTGACCACACAGATGCGAGCCATCGCAAGGTCACCACGACACATCGCACACACCACGAATGAGGAAGTCTTTGCTATGTTGGGCTTACCAGGACCGGCTGAGCTGATGCAGCACGCCTTGGAAAACTGCGCCAGCGCCTTCAGTTTGTCCGGCAGACTGACGACACCATCATGTGCAATCCGAAGCTGCATGCTCAGGCCAACTGGGCGTTTGAGGCGCTGACTGATGCCATTGCCAGCAAAGGCAGATTAGAGCGTGTCACCGGAACCCAGGGCGTCGCTTGCACTGAGTGTGGTATCTACTTTGACACTGAAAGTGCTATGCGCAAGCATCGTACGCGCCAGCATCCCGAGGCGACAGGTGTGCAGAAACTTGAACTCAGTCAGGTACGGCGTGAAGTTGTGTGTGTCGACGGAATGCCTGTCTGCCGTGGGTGTGGCAAAGCTTTCCACCATATGCACACATTGCTCAAACATGTGCGCAATCAGCGTTGCCCAGGCTTGCTCAACTTAGCCAATGACAGTTCACGTGCACCGGATGAACCCGTTCCTGTTGTGCAGCGCGGTGACCTCATTAATGCATGGGGCAAGGGGGGCACTTGTGCGCTTCTCGCCTCGCTCAAGTCACAGCCTGAGCTTAGAAAGGAGCTCATGCAACACTGTTGTCTCTGCCGTCAGTGGTTCTCCGATTGGCGCCACATTAAGACACATATGCAAAAGTCGCACAAGGAGGATTACCAAGCTTGTCATGAGGGTGCAATTGCAGACTGCAGAGGCTTGACTGGGGCCGTGCTCAATCCTTGTGAATACTGTGAGTCCTCTGTAACTAGACGTTCCCGGCATGCTGTAGGCTGCCCTATTCTCTATCAAGTTGCCTTCGCTTGCAGAGTTCATGGCAGACCTCACGAAAGACCAGATCGTCTCACTCTTCGGGGGAGTGCTGCCAGCAGTGAGCTTAGCCGCGGGCTCGCAGAGGCCGCCAGCCACCCCGCAACAGGCGGGGAGAGGGTTGCAGAAGTCGGGGTTGACGGAGCGACCACCGAAGTACCACAAGCACCAGACCAATGGCAAAGGCAAAGGCAACGGCAAGGGTCGCTACAAGGACAAGCGGCCCAGAGAGGACTCGGAGCATACTTCGGCTCAGGAGGGAGACAATCTGGATCCTCAGTTGATACCCCTCATTGCTCAGCTTTGCCTTCGGTTCGAAGACGCAATAAACATATTACGGTTGGACCGAGCGTATGTGATGCTGTTCAAAACAAAGTCGGAAGAGTCGATTGTGAAGCCCCTTGACGATCTCTCCCAGAGATGGGAGGAACTCAAAGAGGCCAAACAAACGGACTCAGCCAAGAGGATCGCGCTCTTCAAGGGCATGCTGCTGGAGCTCCAGACGAGGATCAAAGGCATGATCGAGAAGGAAGACAAGGTCAAGCAACTGATTCAGATGGGGTGGATGTCCAAGCAAGAGGGTCGGGAGCCGATGTGGCTCCCACTCGTATGGAATGTGGAACAGCAGAAAGACGTGCCGTGCCCCGACATGGGACCCCTCCCCCACACAAAGGCCATGCAAGCTCTGGACACATTGCTGGAATACGCATGCGGCCAGGTGATACACAGATTTCATCCCACGAGGCCACTGGTTCCGGAGCACGCCGGCGAGATCCTGGAGTTCAAGATGGAGGTGAGCCTGAAGGGCGTTGCGCCGACTCAGGTCCACGATGCATTGACGCAACTCAGCAACTCAGCGCTCTGGTTGTTGATCGGCGCCCGGATGCGCCCGGACGGCCTCCGGAGATCAGCAACGGCACAGCAGTTGCAGAAGCTGCTCGCAGGAAGGTGCTGCGCCTAGCACTCCGAAACACTGGTAACACATGTTACCAGAATGCCTTTGTGATGTCCTGGCTTTGGGCCCTTGTGAATGCAAACGCCAATCAGGTGGGCGGATACAACGATGAGGGATTAGGTCGCGGGCGTAATATCATCAACGCACTCCTTACGGGCTCCTGCGACAGGCTCTCCAGCATTTTCGCATGGTCGTCTATCATGCAGAATTGGCCGCGCCCTCAACAGCAGCATGACGTCTGTGCCTTTGCGTCACACGCTTTAGCCAAACTCAAAACCCCACTGATGGGGGGCAGCTGGGAGGCTAGGCGCGAGGATCCTGTTTTCCGCGTCGTGGATATGGGGTCCCAAGCTCTGCCCATCACCATGGCCATCCCTGAAGGCAAACACACACTGCCTGAATGCATTGAGGCATGGCAACATCAAAATGCCAAACATGCTTTGGGATATGCTCCAGACTTACTTATGCTCCAGCTCGGTCGCTTCCGTCAAAGATTGCACAGACGTGTTCGCAAATACCAGGGCATTGTGATGCTGCCTTCACGAGTGCAGATGCCGTGCTTCACGGCACCCAATGAGCTCGGCACTCACAATGTGGATTATGGGGGATGACGAAGTCTCCGTCCTTGTGAGTCATTCCAAGATCTTTGTCCCGACAGATCGGGTCACTGAAAGCGGAGAGAACTTTCCCCCCCCGCTCAGAGGTTCAGCCTTAGAGGTTACAGCCTGACAGGGTGACGAAGCTTCGGCTGTGCGCTCTCTGAGAAGTGGACTAATTGCCAGGAGAGGTTTCTGGTTCCTCCTCTTCGTACTCGCTGCTGTCAGTGAAGCCTGTTGGTTGAAACCAACGCCTGAACAGCGCTCGGAAGACCTTGGCAGTCGCGCTGAGGCGACGTTGTCTTCTGGTCCTCAGGTACAAGCTGACGGTGCACCAGATCTCTGGAATTTGTAAGACTCGCATGACTGAAGAAAAAGGTGCGGGTGGGCGGGCTTTCGAAATTTTCTGCCCGGCTCCGACTTGAGCAACGTTCACATGCAGGCACATCACACATGCTCAATGCAGCAAAACGTTTCTGCCTAAACAAACACGTTCCTTGTTTGTTTTCCATGATCGTGATAAAACACTAACTCGTCCCTCGCACGTAAGCTTATCACTCACAGGACCGGCAGAAAATTTCAATCAAATGGAATATCTTCAATAAAAGAATCTTCAATCAAATATCTTCCACGCAGATCGCTCTCTCTTTTTCCATGTGGGGATGACGAAGTCTCCGTCCTTGTGAGTCATTCCAAGATCTTTGTCCCGACAGATCGGGTCACTGAAAGCGGAGAGAACTTTCCCCATCTTTTATAAGATCGACGCTTACCGTGGACCGTACTGCGTCGGGAAAGTCTGGGAGAGCCTCGATCCTAACTCTCGAGGGTTCATCCGCGATGTTCGATTTTGACGGGACTCTCGCGATCCAGGGTACAGTCCCCGTCTTGAGCTCATATGCGGCTTGATGCTTCAGCAAGTCGTTTGCGACTCTGTTAGCGCTTGCTCCAGTCATAAGGCAGGCTTTGGCGCCTTCATTATCACAGTAGCATACGACTCTCATTCCTCTGAGGGCCTCGCCCCAAGCCTTGAACGCCAAGCAGACTGCAGCCAACTCGAGCAAGAAGATGCACTTAGACTCTAGGTCTATTCCCACCTCAGCAAGCTCAGCTGAGCTAGGGAAGTACGAGAAGAACCTCAGGGGCTCTCCAGTGGGTCCGCACAGGACTCCGCCTATTCCCGCGACGTTTCCTTCCTTAGTCGGTTCCAGGGACGCGTCAGTGTATATAAAGACGCAGGGCCTCTGACCCAGGAGAATCGTCCTCGCTGGGGCGAACTGAGCGATGTCAATGTACATCCGAAGTGCTGCGGAGATGCTTCCGTCAATTGCGGTAGAGTTCCGTTCCAAAACGGAGTAGAATACTTTAAGACAGGACTTCGGGAGTCGACCGAAGATTTGCCCTCCGGCGAAACTCATTCGCCCCGCCATGTGCCTGGCCTCGGATCTCGATATTCTTCCCCTGTCGAGAATGTTTGAGAGCTCGCTCACGAGCTCACTGATTCTTGCCTCAGTGTTGCTGATGAGTAGCGATCCCTTGGTGAGATGTCTCAGGTTGACGCTGACTCCTAGAGCGTGTAGTGTCCTACCGAAGACCGTGTTTTTCTCGCCAGAGGTGTCATACACCCATCCAAGGATATCGAAGAGGGACCTTGCAGCCAGGTCCGAGCTCTTCTCCAGGGCGGGCTCCGAAAACAGGCAAAAGTCGTCAAAGAAAACCGTCCACATGAGACTGAGGGCCACGACTCCTAGGGTCCACAGTGCCCTGCTCATCCTGTTGAAGGCGTATACACTCTGAGTGGCCCCGAAGGGCAGGGCCAGCGATGTAAAGACCTTGGGGCAGCCAGACGGGTCCTTGATGACTAGTCCCGCCCTGTCTCTGGAGCTCGCCGACACTGCCATCTGCTTGAAGGCCCACTTAAGATCGAAGCTCTTAGCGGTCAAGTCGCGAGGCCTCTGCGCGGCGTCTCTGGCGTCGCACCACTCAACCACAGCGGAAGCCATGACATCTACGGAATGAAGAGATATCCTTTCCTCCGCGAAGGTGGTAGCGTTTATCAAACTAGCCGACATATCGTCGACGCACCGTACCTTGTCCCTCTGCTTAACCCCAAAGCGATTAGACACGACCGAGGGCGCATCGGCATCATCAGGCTCCATGGGTCCCTTGAGCCATCCCCTCGAAACTTCCGTTATGGTCTTCTCCCACACTTCCTTGGATAGGCCCTCCGCGGCTCCAAGAGCCCTTGAGAGCGCTGCATCCTTGAGGACCGGAGCAAGAGCTTCGAGCTCGCTCTCATGGATCGTGGCCGGGGTGTACCTCTTGGGCAGGTCGTTCGACATCGGAATTTCGCCCGTAAGGTCAACACCTTCTTCCAAGAGTTTGTGTGCTTCAGCATCGTTCAGCTCGTATGCGTTCACCATCTCCTTGAAGAGCAGGATCTTCTTGTCCTTTACTACCGACCTTACTCCCTCGTCCATCGAGTCCTTCAAGGCCTTTTCCTCTTCGTAGAGCTCCGAAGCAACCGACATCCATTTGCGGAAGAAGGACGCTCGCCTTTCAGCGACCGCCGATGGATCGTCAGCCGCAAGTTCCCAAATGGATCTTTTCAGTGGTTCAGGCACTGTCGAGATCGCGTCGGCTGGGTGTCCTCTTCCCGCCGCTTCCTTCAGGAACTCGCCGGGGCTCCAAGGCACTCCAAATGTGCAGATTGTGTCCGCTTCTGCTGGAATCGTGGAGTTCTCCCCTTCTGTTCTGGGAGAGATTTCCAGCAGACGGGAGCCTTCGGGAATGGTGACCTGCGGGGTGATCAAAGGGTGCTCGATGAAATCCTTGATGCGCCACGTACAGGAAGATCTCGGAATGAATGCCTTGAGAATCACCCGGTATTCTGGAACGAAGTTGGGTAGATTGGACTTCGTGGTACCCTCGGATGCCATTGCTCTTGAGACTTTCTCTGCCGCAAGCGGCAGTTGCGATGCCCGCAACATGTCTAGAGGTTCCATGACAAAATTGTCTGCCTCGCAGGCATCCTTGACAGCATGAGCCACTTGCTTGCACAGTTTGGCCGGGTACGCCGACTCCAAAGAAGTGGAGAAGGTCTGGTCCTCATGGGACCATCCCCATGATTTGTGAGCGTGGCTGTTGTCACATTCAGCATGGAGTCTGTCCAGAGGCACTTTGCCGAAAAAGGCCAGAGCGGTGTTCTTCTTGCGATCGCTTCCATACATGCACGAATGAAATTGCACATATCTCGGATTGCACCGAGATTGCGCCTCGGTCCAGAAAGAGGTTCGCCAGAACAAGGAGGAGAAGGGGTTCTCCACCGTCCAGGGGAGTTGCTTGTCCGTGCATCTAATGCACACTTGAGTCACAAGTTTGTACAGCTCGTTTGCTTTCTTCACACGTTCTGCTTCGTGATCAAGTAGATGCGGCAGTCCGTCTGGGAAATCATCCGAACGGAGAGGTCTTGGTCCGTAGCGAGAGGTGCTCATGGCGATCTCCCTGGCCCGCGAACACGTTCCACAAGGTGGCGCCATCCACACAAAAACTAGCTGATCTGAACTTAAAATCTGGAAAACAAGGTGTTGAGAGGCCTCAAGTGAAAGGTCCAACCTTATCACCGGCCCCTTTCTAGAGGGAGAAAGAAAACTATCGATGCCAAAACTTGCTGACAGGCCGACACTCTTCATGGCGGCCGTGATGCCCGCGGTGCCCGCGAAAAGCTCGAGGGCGAAGCATGACTGGAAAACTTTCCCTCCTAAATTCAAGGAGGGATAGAGGCCCTCTGTCTGTGATGGTCAGTTCGTCTGCCGCTGCGGGCACTGGTTGTACGAGTGAGAGCCCAGGCACTTGGAGCAAATGTGCAAGCCTCGGTCGCATTCGGACTCGTTGTTCTTCCCCGCGGGGCATCCCCCGGGTAAGTTGTGCCCAAAGCAGATGGGCCTCCCAGACGTGGGGCACTTGTAGTGAAGGCCAAGCAAAAGCTTGGGCATGCGAGGAGCCTCATAGTTATCCTGCTGGTGCTTGCCCTTGCCCTTCCCTTTGCTTTTGCCCTTGGAGTTCCGGTCCTTGCCTCCCTTGCGACTAAACCACGTGTCTTGATGCGGCATGTCATACGGAGACGGCCTGTTGCCCTTCCAACCTTTGCCATTCTTGCCCTTGCCGGCCCGGTCGCCCTTCTGGTCACCTCCCTTTGGGCTGAACTGCTGCAAGGGCAGGAGTGCGAACACGACCGAGTGTACCGTGGGCAACCTGGCGAACTCGGCGTCGATAGGTCTAGTGCCGTCTGACGGTCTGATATCCTTTACCACGTCAGCCATGTGAAGCCAGGCTGCCTTGTCTGCTCGCAGGATCTGGAACATCTGAACTTTTTGGAACCGGGCCGGTTGCTCTTTGGATAGTTCTCCGAACAGCCAATCCACCCATTTCTGGTGGACGGTGAATGTGACGAGATCCGCGAACTCATATGCCAAGCCGCGCCTGCGTAGTGCCTGGTAGACCAGGAACTCGGTATTGTTCTCGATGAACAGTCCTTTGTCGTTCTCCTTGACCTTGACCTGTGAGCCCTCAATTTCCAAGAGCTTGGCCGATGACTTATTGCTCATCATTTCCTGTTCTCTGGATGCACACCTGGAGGGCGGCATGTACTTGAGTATTTTGGACTCAGCTTGATGCGAGGCCGAATCCAGCATGGCGTGCCCTGGCTCCAGACCTTTGGAAATTTCGAGACCTGGGTACTTTGCACGAAGGCTGTCGAGCCTCGCGCTGCGTTCCGCTCTCGGGACCGGCTTTGCTGTGTCGGCCGTCGCTTCAACCCTGTTCTTGAGGCTGGCGCTGATAAACACGTGGGCCTCAAACAGAAGGTTCCTGGCTGCTGACAATGTTCTCAGCGATTGCCCTACCCCGGCGATGCCTTCGAAAAAGGTGTTGAATAGGGTCTCGTCGATCGGCTGCCCCGGCTGACCGTGGGCAAAACCATAGCGATTGAGTGTCGCCAAACCGTGCCTCTTGAACGCCTGTGCCGCCGCATCCGGTATGCCAAGCTCAGCAGCGCGCTGCAGGAACTGAGCTTCGCTGTCCAGGAGTGAGGTCATGATTTGAGGCTTTAGCCAATCTCTTGATTCTTAAAAGGGGGGCTGCGGCATCACCGCAGCTGAGATTCGACTCGATAACTCACTCTCAACTACTGGAGGTGCATTTTATTCACCGCTTGAGCTTCTTGTTGATCGCTTCAATAAGGTCCGCCCTTGTGCGAATTGGAAAAGCACTCGGATCACATTGCGAGCAGGTCTCGGCTCCCTGCCCTAGTGACCTGACAGGTATCATGCTGCCGTGCCACTTCCTGCCGCACTTAAAAGTCTGGCTTGACTCGTTTGCCAGTATGTGGACCTTCCCTTTAGGATTCAGGAAAAACAAGTTGCCGGCCCCCGGCGGAGGCATGACTGCTGATTCTTGGGAAGATTGTGATTCCGACTCTGAGGAAGAGCTGTCCGAGGAATCCGACGTGCTGCCTGCACCGGATTCTTTTGGAACCTCAGCACCGCTGTTGGCTTCCTCCTCCGACACCGGGGCTGGTGCTGCCGACGGCAATGATGCTGTTTCCTGGTCTCGATCAGGAGAGGCAGGACTCCTTTCTTCTTCGTTCGAGACTACCTTCCAGGCAGACGTCGTTTCTGATGGTTCCCCACGGGAGTTAATGCCCGTCTCGATGGGCCGGCTGTCCTGGCGGGACCTGAAGAGACCGCTTCTTGTCTCATCGGGCAGGAATGTACCCGCCCGTATGGCGTTTAGAGCCATCGCGAGCTTTCGCAGAGGCCGGGATTGCATCCCCCTGGCATACACGTCGCTCGACGTAATGCTCCCCACGTGCCGACCTAGGAATTCCAAGGTGGGTTTGTCGGCCCCGAAGCGGGCCATCCATGCCAGCACCGTCTCCTTACAACTGTGAGACGTGAGATCTTCTACGTTATCCAGCTGCCTTAGTAGGTAGCGCAGCAACGACGTGAATTCGTCACTCTCGAGGCTGCGCTCAGAGAAGGAGTCGTCAGAAAGAGGAGCGGGGAGGAATGGCCCGGGCGCAAATTCGCCGAGGACTTGCTTCCGTAAGGTTAGGAACTGCTCGGCCCAGTTCTCGTCTGTGACTCCAAAGGCTGGAGCTACGATGGGCAGGAGCCTTCTCTTTTCTCTGTTGGCTGTCTTGTGATGTTCCGTCCGGACTTCGATAAAGCCGTGCCTCCCTGTAATGTCCAGACATATCTCCTCAATGTGTCTGAGGTCGGAGCATCTGCAGCGTCCATAGACGCACATGAGCATGAGTCCTGCAGCTAGCCGGTCAAAAACTCCTTCAGATGTGTTCCTGAGGATGGCGTGCAAGCGCAGTACCATGGCGACGGTAAGCGCCGGCGCCTGCTTCAATGGTCTCTTCTTGCTCGAGGCTTGCTTAGCCACTCCCTGAATCAGGAAGCTGGAAATGATGGCCGTTGCTCCCTCGGGTTCAATCGTGTAGATCATGAAGTTTACCGCCTGCAGAAATGAGGCCGGAGCGGTTGGAGCACCAAGTGCCTTGAGGTGGTGGACATAATCGAACGACACTGCTTCCTTCATCGGCCATGCTAACCTGTCGTTCTGCGTGCACCAATAAAGGTACCTTTTCACAACCATCCCTCTAGAGTTGATGGTGGATGGGGCTTTGACCCCCATCACTGCATCGACACACGTGAAAAGCTCGGTGGCGACTTGGCCGCCGTTGTCTTCGTCCGATAGCTGGACGTGCCTGGTGATGCCGAAGTGTTGTGGAGCGACCCCTATGACGTCGCACCACAGAGAGATTCCCTTCAGTCTTGAAGCTTGTTCACTCTTGGGGAAATTCACGTTGGGGCGGTTCTTGACTGCCGACAAAGCGGATGACGCCCCCGCTCTGGGTGGCATAAGTATCTTGCCAATGGCTTCGCCCGGGTCTCGGTCCGGCTCGGAAGGCGGGGCTGTGGTTTGTAACTGAGCTTGCGGCACCACGACCGGGGGCTCAGTGGTTCCAAAAATGTCCCGCATCAAGGGGGTCTCCCAAGGCATGACTATTCTTGGCCGTTTAGCAGCCCTCAACAAGCAGCCTTGCAGGGCCTGCTCGTACTCGCGCCCTTGAAGCACGCCGCTCGGCGAACTTTGCTGGTTTTGGGGCCGGGCACTGGCCGATGCAGAGAAAAGCTCTGACTCAGCTGGCGTGAGCGCTAATGTTGCTTCGGGCCGTTCCTGCTCTGGCCACTGATCCAACTCACCTGGATCTTCCAACTCTGCTAGCCGCTCCAAATCGAGCAGCCTGTCGATTTCACTCTCTTCCGCCATGCTGCTGGGTGAGACTGACACGACACACCTGTCAGTTTCCCTAAATGCCGTAGGCTCGCTTCTTTGTGAGGCTACTCCACCTCGTGATCTAGCAAGGGCTCCTCGGCCCGTCCTGGCAATACATTCTCTTTCAGCGTGGCTCAAAACTGTGACACGGCTTGCTCGAGCAGAACGCAGGGACAAACGAGGAAATTGCACGGACAAAGGCAACACGGCAAGAGGCTCAGCAGAAAACAACTGCGACATGCGACGGCGAGTTTTGCGGATCTCCCCGCTGCGTTTTCCTCTGCTCGGAGGACTTCTAGCGAAGCTTGCTTCTTCGCGAAACGTCACAGCTCTGACTCCCAGAGCGATTTACCGCGGCACACTCAGGGCCAGTTTCGCCCTTCTGTGGGCAGTTTCTCTGGGATGCTCCCTCACTGTCTTTCCTGACACTCGATGCTTGGAACCCTTACATGACTCAAGTACGGCTTGACGTTGCTGAGGCGCGGGCGGTCTTCCTTGGGAATGCATCAAGTTTCCTAGCATCCGATGATCCGAAGGAGTATGCTCGCTTCAGTGGGTGCAATCTCCAAGCCAAGCGGCAGCTTCGGCTTCTTTTCTCGGCGGTGGTTGCGCAGTTCGTCATCATCCCGGGAGCCCCGACAACAAAATCTCCCGAGGTCGTTCGAGTCCCTCGGACTGAACTAGATGAAAAGATTTGGAGGCAACTACCGCGGCCACATGAACGCCACGGCCTTTATGGTCGCGCCCTCCGACCTGATGCACAGACTTTGGTCCGATGAGGATCGCGCCGCCCAGTCTCTTCTGCAAGCTGCATGAAGCTTGCCCACGCCTCCTTCCAAGAGTTGGACCGCGTGTGCCCTTGCGGACACCAAAATTGCGATGCCACTTCCCGAGGCCTTTGCTTTCCTCGCAACCCCTTCCAGGGCCTTCATTGCCGTGTGCGAGGAGTACTGCTCGCAGCTGCCACGGGCGAAGAACCCGTATGGCGGGTACTGGTCGGTCTGAGCTGCTTGAGGGCGGATGATCTTTTGGCTCAAAATGCCGTGAGCCGAGGACCACTTCGTGCCGTGAGCGGCCGTCAGACTCTGCGAGTGGACGGGGTCCGGGATCTGGAGCTGCTCCGGCGCGGCGATGTCGGGTTTAAGCTCCAGTTCGAGGATCGAGGCGGAGAAATGCGATCCTGAATGCTGCGCCCATTTCAACTCTTGCGGCAGCGTCCCGTCGGGGAGGGAGGCCAGGAACCGGGACACATAGTTGATCATTGCCTCCGGGAGGCGGGAGTGCTCCTTGATCCGCGCGGCCATGCGCTCGATGTCATCAGCTTCCACATTCTCCATGACTTCTTTGTAGGGGGGGCCGCGCTGATCCGCCGGGAGTTCACTGTAGGACAAAGTCCGAGTGCGGTCGGACCACGCCTCCTCCATTGCACTCTTCATGAGTGCTTCCTGCATGGAAGCTTCCTCCCTATCTTCGGCATCTTCTTCCTGTTCGGGGAGCTTCCACTGGTAACCCTTCTCATGCGCCGTCCAAGTGTTCCAGGGCTTGCCGGAGCCTCTGGGCTGCCAAGACTTGGCTTGCCATTGTTTGTTCGAGTGCCAGCCTGGCTGCTTCCACCCGGAGCTCTGTCCGCCCCATTTGCCACTTCCAAAGGAATGGTCCTTCGTAAAGGACGGTGTGTGGTAAGACTCCCCCTTGTGGCTCGAGGGAGCGGCTTCCGCACGCTCCTTGCGCTTGTGGCGGCGGCGTTCCGGCGAAGACGAGGACGAGGAGGAATCAGAGCTGTACGAGCTCTTCTTTGCCTTGGGTGCGCGCTTCTTCGACGCCTTCTTCTTGGTGCGTCGGTCTCTTTTGGACTCTTTGCTCTTCTTGTGCTTGCGGTTCTTCTTAGCTTTTCGCCTCATGGGCATGAGCCCGTAGATCGTCGGAATCATCTCCTCACTGTCAGAGGAGTCGGAGTCGTCTCTGCGACCTCTGCCCATGCGAGTGGGGAGGTAGGGCGATGCGCCGAAGCTGAATGGCGTCACCATTGTGAGACGGAGGGTGAAACGAAGGTGAAAACTGAAAGCTCTTGAGCCGGCTCGAGTAGCATAAACATCATAGGCTTCTGCGAGGGTGCGTCTTGCTCACGCAGGAAACTCTCCCAGCCCTGCACGTCACTGCATTGGCCTCGAACACGAGTTGCCCGTGTTAGCGATCCCTCGCGGGCCAGAGTTGCTCAAGGAATGTGTCTGAAAACGACAGGAAGTGACTTCTGGGGACCGTGCCTGTTGCCTTCTCGAGAGGGGCAGTCGAGAGCGAAATGACATTTACAGCGAAGGCCGGCGCGAACCAGCATCTTCGCAGCTGCTCTCCCCGGACTGCGTTTGGGAGGCGCTTCCGGCTGGTCTCCTTCTTCTGTCGGTTCCCAAGAGGCATGGAAGACCCACCTGCCCAAGTTGGCGGGAAGCCCTTCGTGGGCTGAACCCTCCTGCTCCTGAGGGTCTCGGGCGGTGTAGCTGGAGGAGGGCAACTGCTCTGCCCGATTGTCGGCATCTTCCGGGACTGATGCCGACTTCCTCTCTTTCTTCTTTCGCTTCTTGGTCTCTTCTTTGTCACATCGCCTGCGCTCCTGTGTCGTGGAGTGTCTCTTCTTCACCTTCTTCCGCTTCTTATGCTTCTTGCGCTTGCTCTTCGGAGAATCTGCTGGTTTACTGACCGGCGCGAACGCCGAACTCCAGGACGACATGTCTTCATCCCGCTCAAAAACCTCTTCACTGTTTGCCGACATGGTGTCTGAGCTGCATACGGCTACATTTGCAGTCTACGGGTTGTTCCTGGAGCTGTCCCTGACAAACACATCTCCGCTGGGATGCCTGACAGAACTGCACAATACTCTGGAGCACTAGAAACGCACACTTTTGCTTATTCAAACTCGCGTCATCAGGGAGACCGCAGGTGTTCTCTCAGTGACCGACCCACTGCCTGTCGATTGCCTTGATGATGCAGACATACCCTGATGGTGAGTCAGGGCAGTGCGCGGCTCCAGCAGCATCTGATGAACCAGGGCAAGTAACCCTGGGCGTTGAGTGGGGTGCCAGGTTCGACTGCTTCTGCGCGATGTTCAAGAATGAGTATCCTCCTTTCGCACGCTCTAACATGCGCCTGGATGGTGGAAATTCGGCGCTCGAGCTCAGTAACATGTCTGCTGACGAGACTGAGCGTACTTGGGCTATCGCCGCTGTAATCCGAGCTGTCGATTTCCATGCGACACCGGGGACCTCGGATTCGCCTTGTGCGGCTTGATGTCAGATGGGCCACTGCGGTCACTTGGAACTCTCTGCGACGGAAGCAAGACCGCAGAGCACATACTGCAGACTCCTGCTTTTAGGCATTTCGCACGAAGATCACAGGTGATAGCGTATTCGCTACAAGCACTGGCGCTGAAAAACTAAGGTGCCTGCCGTCCTGAACCAGGTGAAAAGAACTCAACTTCGGAAAACGACCAAACAGCTCGAAGAGTCTTTGAGCAACAAGCCACTTCGCTTGATCCACAATGTCCTTGCAACTAAGCTGGATGTCGAGCGTGACGGCCGTGTTATGAGAAATACGATCATTCGCTTGTACCTGCATTCGGAAAATGTATCCGTGAGGTGTGTCCCAGGGCAGGTCTGCCTCACCTGCCTTTCTTTTCATCTGAGCACTGACATGATGCTCATACGTGTCTCCGCTTGTTGCACATGGCTTGAGGCGAGCACGGATTCCCGGGAAAGAGCTATGCCTTTTCTAACCTGTAATACTGCGCCTGCAGTGTCGGTGCGAACACTGCGTGCATTCTCTCTCTGAGGCATGAGCAGTAGGGTGGAGCTGATCGTTGGCCCCAACACCCGGTCAAGAGCGACTATGCAACGAAGCTTGCAAGGAAAAACCCTGTCTGAGACTGTCACTTGCTTGTGGATATCCGAAGCAGAATCTCTTTGATCTGATGCCATTGCAATCACGCGCTTACACTCTTCAACGACACAAATATTGTTGTCTCGCACGCTGAGGAGACAACCGCAAACCTTCCTTCTTTGAGGACCCTTCCCGGTCCACTTGTGGGACTCCTTTCGAAATTTTCTGCCCGGCTCCGACTTGAGCAACGTTCACATGCAGGCACATCACACATGCTCAATGCAGCAAAACGTTTCTGCCTAAACAAACACGTTCCTTGTTTGTTTTCCATGATCGTGATAAAACACTAACTCGTCCCTCGCACGTAAGCATTTCGGGAGTCTTCCACCTGGGGAACACGCCGGCCTCAGGTCATTACCGGACCTTTCTGAGCGATGCTGAAGGGAGCGGGATTTCGGATAATCCTGGGGAGCCCCATGGTGCTCTCGCGAATGCCTGGGAAACTGATGACGGACGTGTGCCAATCAAGCTTGACCATACTTTAGTTGACACTGTGCTGACTAACACCTACACGGTGTGGCTCGCAAAACTGTGACTTTCGAGCAGCATTCCGAGTGCGCAACGAAGGAGGCTGATTTCCGAACAAGTGTTTAAACAAACTTTTCTAGGTTGTAGGCATGCTGCGGTACGCCGCGATGCCTGAGCTCTGGTAGCCTGCAGCTACTAGTAGCGAGGTAGTACGAGAGTGCACATAGCCGATGTCACCACAGTCCACGGGTTGTCTCGGTTGTTGCCGTTTGTTCTCCGTTTTGTCGTGGTCGTTCGTTTCGTTCGTGTTGGGTTGCTGCTCCTCCTCTTCCTCCCCTTTTCCCCCCCCCTCCCTTCTTCCTCTCCCCTCTCTCTCTCTCTTCTCCTCTCTCTCTCTCTCTGCCCTCTTTCTCTCCTCTCTTTCCCTTCCCCTCTCTCTCTCTTTCTCTCTTTTCTCTTTGGGACAGTGGTGATATCAAACTTGTGCATTGCCACCATACGAGTGGCCGGGACAAACCTGCTCCACTTTCGCTTGCCGTCCTACTTGAGCGGTGCGTGTGCAAAAGCAAAAAAAGGCCTGCGCCTCGACCAGCTGCTGGTGCCGGCGGCGCAGCAGGGGATTCAGGTTGTACGAGGGGTACATCTTGTGGAACTGCCGAAGCATGAAGGATTCGTTGCGCCGCTCGAGGGGCATCATGGTTCCTTTATAGCTCGTGCGTATTTCGTGCGAGCAGCTCCATGTACCGGTCCTGCCGCTGCATGTACCTTAGGGCGCGCTCTTGCGCAGGCGTCATCCTGACGGGCTCCGCGGGGGGCTCGGGAGCGGCAGGGGCGGGAGCCGGACTCGGAGCCTTCGGAGGCTGCGCGGGCTCGGCAGCCGGTGCTGGGACGGCCTCTTCGGCGGGCACCGTCTTCGGGGCTTTTGGCTTGTTCTTCGAGCCTGGAGGTCTGCCTCTCCGCTTGGGGGCGGGGGGCTCCGCGGGCTTGGCGGGCTCCGGCGGGGGCACGGCGGCCGGAGCCGGCTCAGGCTCTGGTGCAGGCTCTGCCGCAGGCTCTGCCACAGGCTCTGCCACAGGTGCGGGCTCGTCCACGGGTTCATTCTCAGCCATTTTCTTGATTAAAGATATTAATTGTCGTAATCCAGGAAAATCGCAAAAGAAACAGATGTTCCACGGGTGTTAACCGTGTTGTTGTCGACATCTGACAATTTAAAGCGCAGAGTGCGCAGGGTAATCGGACCGTGCAATTTCACGAAATGCCCTCGTCTGTTCTGGTTTGCATGATATTGCCGACGCCTTTGTCGATAATCATTTTGCAGATGATGTCGTTGCCCAGAGGCCCCTTGATGTCGGCGCCAGTGGCGAGGGTGCTGCATCTGAGCAGCAGCTCTGAGTATGGGTTCATCGTGACAAAGGTGAAGATCTGCAGCGCTCCATCGATAAAACTGGGGCCCAGGAGGTGATTGATCGAGAGCGGGCGACTCGGCGTGGCGCCGGCGGGGTAAGAACCAGTGCCTGGGAACAGGCTTCGGATCTCGTAGTCGTTGAGTATGCGGCGGTTGCCGTCGTAGGCCACGCCTATCTCGTTTGTGCTTTCGACGTACGTCGCCGAAGCAAAGTTGCTGCTGATCCAGGCGGCCAGGCGACTTCCCGTGTAGGCCCCGATGGGGAGCACCGCCCAGTTGAGGGTCTGCAGCGCTTCGTCGATCCAAAAAAGGTACTGGCCCCTGTCCGTGCTCAGAAAAGCATCGGCCACCCTGAACTTGAACACGGAGAGCTTGGCTCCTGTCTGCAGATGGAGGGTCTCCCCAATGTCAAATTCGAAGCTGGAGTCGTCCCCCGCAGTGCGCTTCCTGCTATCGACATAGATCGTTGTCGACATCCTTTTCTTTCTACGCCAGAAGCTCCGGCCTGTTGACTTGTCGGAGGCCGTGCTGTCACTGACCTGCCGGACCCGCTCCGGGTAGGGAAGCCGCCGCGGGTCCACGACCCCCTGCGTGCTGGTGCAGCATTGCACATGATGGCACTCACTGTCGCAGATCGGGCCGTTGCCCAGCAGCTTGCCCACCACTTGGCTGAGGATTCCCCCCATCTTCGTTTACGAGGAATTTGCGCTCGAAGTTCACCCAAAACATGTCTTCTTTCGGGGCTCGCAGATTGACAAACCAAAAACTATGTTTCTCCCTGGTGGCCTCCTCGTACATACTAAACAGGACCTCCTTTGGGAGCATGGCGGAAAGCTCCTCGACGAGGGCCTCGATTTCAAGTTGGTTGCGGAGTCGGAAGACGCAATAGAACATGGTGTTCACGCGCACGGCCGAGGGCATCAAACGAAGCTTTTGGGTACTCACCCATGTGCTGCACATGTAGTGCCGGCCGCGTATAAAAAGCGTGTCCAGGATGCCGTCCCCGGTCTTCTTGTGCACCTGCGGCGTATCGGCCATGTCATCCAGGACCACCAAAACCTGAAAAAGGCGCTTCATTCCCAGCTCTTTGGATTTTTGGGTTATGCGCTTTTGCTGGGCCAGGATGTTTCGGAGCGCGCCCTCGTCCCATTCGCTCCACCAGCACTGCTCCCGGTCCGTGTTGACCCCCAGGTCCTTCCGGATGTACTCCTTCACGGGGTCCCACTGGGGGTCCATGTCTATGGAATTCGACATGATGTACACCCGCTCAAAGCAGCCGCGGTACTGCTCCAGGATCATCGAAACGAGAAGAACGGTCTTCCCGGACGCGGACGGCGCGCATAGGATGCCGTTTGAGGTCGTTCTGCAGACCACCGCGTCTGGGGGCTGCTTGACCGTGTACTCCGGTGTCTTGAAGAGCTTCACCTTTCCCATTTAACCAAAGCGCTTTGTAGCATCGTAGAGGCAGCAGCACATTTACGTGATGTTGCCTTCGTGCCACGGGCCTCGCAGCCGCATGGGGTGGTGGCCGGGCGGCGGCGGTGCGCCGGGGCAGGACAGGAGCCACAGGGCCAAGAAGACGCCCGCCAGGGCCACAGTTGCGCAGAGGCACTCTCCCGGCAGCATCGGGGAGAAGGTGCGTTCAGCCGGTGGCATTTTTTTTATTGGGGGGAGAAAAAGGGAGCATGAGCAGCAAGCCAAGCATGGCGATCAAGCTCGGAGACCTGTTGGCGAACCCGAAGGGCGGCAAGTTCTTCCCCGTGTGCGCGGAGGATGGCGGCCCGGCGGTCTGGCAGTGCGACTGGATCAGGATTTTGTGGCACCCCACGGCCTACAACGGCGAGGACGCCAGGAGGCTGCCTCTGTGCCTGGAGCCCAACGAGGCGGCGAAGGAGGAGCTGGCCGGCTTCGAGAAGGCCCTGGTGGCCCAGCTGGCCAGCCGCTCCATGGCGGACCCGAAGCTC